ATAGTTCCATCGACATAGCCCAACATGTCTTGACTCTCAAGGAGAGGGAGAAGTTGGCTTTTCCAAAGAAGATAATTGGAGGAAGAAAGTTTGATGGTGATCATATGGATTAGAGTATTGAAAGGAAGAAGATGATAACAAGATTCGGAAGCCATAGAGAAGAAAGGATCAGGGTTGTTAAACCGAAAGGGCTCTGATACCATGTGAATGTTTGATTAATCCACCACACCCAAATGGTGGTGAGAGTTCTCTTATTTATAATCATTTACAGAATACAAAAATAAGGTAAATTATAAATAATAAAGAAATAGCAATAAAAGGAAAGAATAATAAAGGAATACAATATATTTGCATTTAATAAAAGGGCAAATATGGTAACCCATAATGTAAGGCAAATATCTAGATATTTGCCTTATAATGAACGGTCAACTATCCTTAACAAGTACGTATATGAGCCTGCCTGGTGGGTCCATGTGCGCGTACATGGGCCGTGTGTGTGAAGGAGTACCACACATCCAACCCTACCTGGATAGATAAACACTCAAGGCCATGTAAAGTTTATGAAAAGTTAAGTCCCACTCATATGTTGCATGTGTTTGCTTTTCTAACCCCAATAGTGGGGTGACTTATTGAGTATTTCATAAAATACTAAGTCATGTGCTACCTATATTTTTCAAGTAAAGACAAGACACCAATGTACGATTGACGGTGGAGCTGAGGACACCATGTGTCACGATCTGATTTTCAAGACTTCGAAAATGAGACCGTGACCCAAAAGACTAAATTGAACCAACAAAAAAAGAAAAAAAAAAGTAAAAAAAAAAGTAAAAGATAAAAATATCATTCAATTAAAACAAAAGAATGAGAAGGTTTGTTTGGAAAATATTACAAAGCAAATTACAAATATAAAATGAAATACAAAATATTCCAAAAAATTGAAAAGGGACTAGCGCTTCGTAATGACCCCCTCTGTGATCATACAACTCTCGAACGCTCCTCCACCTCAACCGGTACCTAAGAAAAAAGAGTAGAAAGGAATGAGTATAAAAATTATACTCAATAAGCCACCTACTTGTAGGCTCTCATCGCATCCTAAGCTTAACAGATTTCCAAAAAATTATACTCAATAAGCCACCTACTTGTAGGCTCTCATCGCATCCTAAGCTTAACAGATTTCCACGGACTTCTCTTTGGCTCTAGGACATTTGGTTCTCGTTTTAGCTCTTTAGGGCTTGCCCCTTTGAACTTGCCCCTTGGGGCTTCTTTGGTTCTTCATTCTTTCATTTATACCCTAAGAGTTCCCTTATACTAACTTGTGTTTGACTGGTGCCCTACAAGTAGCTATCTCGGCATGGCTATGAGACTACCTCGACATGGCTATGAGACTAACCTGTGTTTGACTGGTGTCTTATGTAGGAAGTGAGCTGCAACTCCCTAGTCCCATGGTAATCCCCCTGTTTTGGGGAGGGCTACCTTTATGTAGGAAGTGAGCTGCAACTCCCTAGTCCCATGGTAATCCCCCTGTTTTGGGGAGGGCTACCTTCCCCTATCCCATCTAGCTAAATGGTCAATTACGACATGGGTCTCCCACTTTCCATGCTAAAATGATTATCAAGCAGTCGAGTCCTGATCAAGAACCCGCTGGTCCCCCACGAAGCTATAACACGCTGGTCCACACAAGTAATCTAAGGGTACTCTAAAGGTGGTTCGTATTCCGTGGTGGTTTGTTAGGCTCATGGGGGAGAGGTTAGGTTTATACTTTAGTGATTTGTTACTCTAACCAAAAATTTCTAGACTTTATCATAAATGTGGGTCATGCAAGTTAGTTAAGTGTGCACGCAAGTATCATTTAGCATCATCATACATAATTCATGCAAAGTAAACATGCTTAACAGGGCGATAACATCCATCAAGTTCCCGGAACGCAGAGTTCACGAGTTTCCATTCTCCTTCCCTTAACAGGGCGATAACATCCATCAAGTTCCCGGAACGCAGAGTTCACGAGTTTCCATTCTCCTTCCAGCATGAGTTAAACATATATATACAAAGCGGAAGCTTAAAACATAATAGCAACACTCAGATAATTCTCATAATACTTCACATAATACATTTAGACTTTTAACAATCAAATTACCTACATTCAATCACAGAAACTCATAATACTTCACATAATACATTTAGACTTTTAACAATCAAATTACCTACATTCAATCACAGAAAGCTACTACCTAAGGTAATTAAACTAGCATGCATGCATAACCAAGTGACTCCTACAAGTATTTCTTCTTAAAGTTCTGTGTGTTGACTTACATGATTGACGTGTGTTCTTTGTTTAGCATTTCTACACCAAAAGTGTCCTTCAAATAGCGGGCCATGGACTTGGGTAGTGGGCCGCCGACCTTCGAATCCTGCCTGACACGAAGTATTTCTTTGATTTTCTTCGCCAATGGGTAGTGGGCCGCCGACCTTCGAATCCTGCCTGACACGAAGTATTTCTTTGATTTTCTTCGCCAATGGATGCTTGACACGTGGCCCTTCTTCTCTGGCGATGCGTGGTGCCCTTCTTTGCCTGACACGTGTCCTCGTCGTCGTCTTCCTCCTGTGATTTCCAGAATACGATTAGTTTTTCCATTTTCTTTGCATTTCCATATTTCTTTCTACGTAAATCGGATTAACACGGTTCTTTCACATTATTTGTAGATTGCATATCCATCCATGAGTAGTATTTTTTCTTGTAATTTATTTCTAACCATAGAAATAATTATCTTAATCCAAAGATCGCAAGAAACATCAATACCTACCTCCTTTGACGAATGCCGGAACTCCTACTTCCAATTTGAATCAACTACAACTTCTTTCACAGGATTTGAGCATAATCCTTCCTAGATTAATATACTCAAATTTTAGATTTTAACTCTTACTATATCTCACAGATCCGAAGGAAATCCAAGAATCTAGATTCAATTACTTTGCCTTTAGATTTTCCTTGTTTCTTGATGGTTTTAGATGATTTAAGTGTAACACGCTTAATTTTCTTAACCTAATTAGAGATGTCACCCTTGCATACATAACTCATTACGCGGAAGCTCATCATACATAACCTTGGAAAACACAACCAAGTCTTTCATAAAGGTCCAAAAATCCAAACAAACTTATCTCCGAAAATAAAACCTTCCGTAATTGAATTAAGAAAAACTCTAAATAAAACAAGGTTCAATGCTTTAACTTAAAAACAGTCAATTAAACGTAAACTACTAAAAATGCCCCTCGTCCACTTCCATGGTGTCCTCAGCTCCACCGTCAACCCTACATTGGTGCCTTGCCTTTACCTAAAAAATGTAGGTAGCACGTGGCTTAAGTATTTTATGAAATACTTAGAAAATCACCCCACTGTTGGGGTTAGAAATGCAAACATATGCAACATATGAGTGGGACCTAACTTTTCGTAAACTTTATATGGCCTTGGGCGCTTTTCTGTTCTGGGTAGAGTTGGATGTGTGGTACTCCTTCACACACGGCCCATGTAGGCGCACGTGGACCCACTAGGTGGGCTCGTATACGTATCCCCTGGGCTTGACTTGGTCGGGCACAACGTAATACACGTCGCTGGACTCCACAGAACCAAAAAGAGGCCACATGTTATCATGGCGAACATAAATATCGTATTTCATTCTTTCGTAACATAAAGGGGAAGTATCCCGATGCAAACGACATACATATATGCATGAGGTCCCTTTAACATACCTAACATGACATTACATAAGCATTGCTAACATCACATATACGCTTCTTACATTACATGACATGTCACATCACTTACCTTACATGACATATTACATAACATGAAAATACATTCTAGTTCCATAAGCATCTCATGACATGACTCGATAATACTACGTGTATCCATGACATCGATCAACATTCTCATGACATATAATACTAGCTGATCAATAATCTTTTTACAGCATAAACAGTTAACAGTCAACATCATCAATGACTTTTCATAGCGTTAATAGTCAACAGTCAACATAATCCATAAATTTTCATAGCGTAAACAGTCACATAATCCATACATCATATAGTCATATCACATAAAATATAGTGCATGCAGGGGCCACAGGGCACGCACCATCGTACAACACGTAGTAAGCTAACTCCAACACTAAGGCCACTTACCTCAATGGCCTTGGCCGAAGTCACTCACAACAAGCTAATTCCAATGGTTAATTACGTCCTATAATAACCACATAAAAATTTAGGAACTTTTCATAACATATCCTAGCTAAATCTCAGGCTCTTTATGAAAATAAACTCCCAACACAATCTGTCTTTGACAGTTAGGAACCATACTAACCTCAGATTGTAAAAATAAGGACGGAAGGGCTGAAAACCTAAAAATTGATATATTATGGGTACGGAGCTACTAAGCCAAGTCGTCGAGCCGACCAACTAAGCCTCCAAGCCGAACCGAGGGAATTGACGGAGCCGTGCCGCACTGTGTACGCGTGCGAAGCTGCCAGAGCTATTGGGCATGTGTCTGCGGTATTAGGCCGCCAGAAATGCGGCTCGATTATACGTCTGGGCCTTGGGCCGAACGTGAAGGAACTCGACCCGATTCCAAAAACCTCACCTTCTTTGACACAATGACCCCGATGTCGATACCTTACTTCCACTCGATTCTTCCTCTGAACAGCACTCTATCGTTCCGCAAAAACTCCAAAATACACAGTGAACAACCCATACGATTTCCTTTCGCACGCTCACAGTTTCCCGTTCTCTCAAACATACTTGGACACAGAAAGTGAGTTTGGAGACAAAAATCGTTTTTAAGGGAAGTGAAGGTTGACATAGTAATATAAAAGGTCTCAAAACGTTTTCCCATTAAGGTAATAACTGTCTCGTTGGAAATCCGAGAGAATAAATGCTACAACATAATATCCTATCAAAATAAAAATAAAATCTTAACAAAATAAGGAAAAATGAAAAATCTGTATCGTTACATTAAGGGTCAAGAATGTTCTCCTCTAAGTTCTGTGAAGATTTCATGAAGAAGGCTCGGCCAGAACCGGACTCCTCGTGGCCGGAGTGGCGGTTACCTCCTCTCTCTATAACTTTCTTGCTCTCTCTCTCTTTCCTTTTATATTCTTTTCTTTTCCTCTTTATTTTTAATCATATGTTACTAACTTCAATTTTAGGTGTTTAATGAGAAGGGAGGGCGTAATGACCAAATTACCCTCCAGAGTTGACTTTGACCATATTTCTAATTTTCTATCATATTTCTTTTATATTTTTTCTAAGTTCCTATATTATTTCAAGTATTTTTCTCTATTGTCTCATCTCCAAATTTGGTCTCTAAGACTTTCAATAAAATTTCAGAAGTTCGACTTAAAAGAAAAATTAGATTTTTAAACTTTCCATCAGGGTTCAGGTCTTACACCATGGAAGTGGACGAGGGGCATTTTTAATAGTTTACGTTTATTTGACTCTTTTAAGCAAAAACATTTAACATTGTTTTATTCATATTTGTTTTGAATTCATGAAGGTTTTATTTTCAGAGATAGGTTTGTTTGGATTTTTAGATCTTTATGAAGGACTTTGTTGTGTTTTCCAAGGTGATTTATGATGAGCTTCCGCATAATGAGTTATATATGCATGGGTGACGTCACTAATTAGGTTTAGAAAATTAGGGGCGTTACAATGATAACCTAGAGTTATGGTGGGTCATTAATGTTCAAGACTTCTTATTTACTTTAAGGTTGCATTTACGTAGTGGCTAATTATGGTCATAAAATATGAAAGTTATAACTCTTAAATGCCCCATGGAAGGTGAACGGGTTTTCCTTTTGAGGCTATATAAAGTCATTTACGTTGTCTTTGTAAAGTAGACTTGAAAAATGTAGTAAAAAGAACATTTGTACTTTCTTTTAGCCAATGACTTAGTTTCTTTGCAATTCTATGTAGTTTAGATTGCATACTTAGGACCATTGAAGCTTGACATGATCAATCTTGTGTTGGGTTTTATGTCCTAAAACTTATAGTTTGTAAACAAAAACATTCTATTTTCAATAAAGTTATTATTGATGTTTAGTCAGCAAAGATTGTTATTGAATAAAGTGAATTTTACGATCATTAATCTAAATCCAATAAACTAAGAACACTCCTGGCTATAGTATAATTACTTAAACTATATGTAGAGACATAAGAGTGGATCAAGTTCAATTATATAGTCAAAATGATCTATAGTACAGGGATAAGGCTAAGTACCTTATCTCGGGGACACTATGGATGCGGCCCACTTTTGTATATGATATAAACAATGTGATCACTAAATTGTACATGTGGAGACATGTGAGTGGGGGTGTCCTATGCAATGAGTATTGCATAAGATCGGACCATGAAGAAAACCACTCGCGCTTTATAATGTCGTTTACTATTGAGACTGATTTTTTCATTTGATGACCTAGGTAACTCGATCTTAATCATGAGAACTATGAACTCCTGTTTATTCGGAATTATCCTTAGATTTGCATGGGTGAGAGTGACTCGAGTTCACCGACTCAATAAGCCTCCCATTTCAGGGGTAAGACTGGGTGAATAGTTGGGGACATAGGGTGTAAGATGGAATTTACTCCTACCCGCTTTAGGGATATTTGAGAGGTTGTTCCCTTACGCATTGACTCCAGGTCTTGAACAAGGGGCCCCACCCTCTCATTGGCATGAGAGGGATTCGGTTTGGTGGTTGGACCACAAACCAATTGTTAATTAGATAATCAATAGGACTTAAGGAACCAAAAGTAACTTTAGGGGTAAAACGGTAAATTGACCCAGCTCTAGTTATGAACAACCTGTGAAGGATCGACTTACTAGTCATGGTTATATCAAATGAACAGAAATACATCTATAGTGAGGGGAGTGCAACTACTAGGCTATAGTGGAGTGTCTTAGTGGTTAACGAATGTTGGTTAACAAGGTTAATGAGTTTAGCCGGTTAATCTCAGATCGTTGGAGCCCATGATCTCTAGGTCCATTAGGTCCCCCTGCTAACTCATATCGGACTAAACCATAGAATAGTGTGACGAGTGAGTTCGAAGTGTTCGAATTCAAATTAGGGAATATGCGCTAAATATATACAATATATTTAACCGCATTTTTGTTTTATTTATAAATTAAACAAAAAGAGAGAATCGGAGATATTTAAATAAGATTTAAATATTTTAAGCAATATGTGTGATTGAGATTGACATTTGAATGCTAAATATTAATTAAATTGTTTAATTAATCATTTAATATTACTTTAATTTGAAATTAATTATTTAAATTAATTGTTGAATTAAAATGGAGAAAGTAAAATGTTGACTTCACATGAAAAAATCCATCACGTTTGATTTATGGTTTAACCAAACTTGCATGCTTGATAGATAAACCCCACAAATTTGAATGGAATTTTGAGTGCCAAATTTGCATTCTTGCCACATAATCTCACAAATTGAGTTGAATTTTGAATGTTAAAATTTGGTAATCTCAAATTTGCATGAACATACAAATATGACTCTATAAATAGAGAATGATCAAGGTAGATGTAAATTCTTCTTGAAAATTTTTGAAAAAATCTCTCAAAACTCTCTCTTTAGATATACTAAATTCCTATCAAGTTTAGTCACTCACAGAATTCTACAATCCCGTTCTAAGGCCGGAGAATAGTAGGGAAGACGCTAGTAGTGGTTCGAAACCGGTTCGTGAGGAAAAAGGAATTTGAACTACAAAAAGTTAGTGTTCAAACTCATTGAGTTGTAATGCTTTTGAACATGCTAGCTAATTTACTATAATTGATGTACTTAGAGTGCCTAAGATCCAAATTGCTTCCGCACGTGTTATAATAACACCATCATCTTGCTCGTGGAATAATTCGAATCTCAAAGAAGTTTTTTTGCCTTAGAGATATTTGATGAACAAGGTAATTTGAATCTCTCTCCCTAAAGTGATTCCTTATTGTTTTGAGGTTCTTGGACATTTAGATACAAAGATCTTATTATAAAATATGGTTGTTAGATCGAATTCTCAAGAGTTGCAATTGTTGGAAGGAAATCAACTTGATTCCAGGGTTTAGTATTTATTATCTAGGGGTTTGCATATCATGTATGAATGTTCTTAGATTGAATTGGATAGGGTAACTATATCACTCGCCATGCAACTTGTAAGTTTAGGTACCTTCTAAAAAGAAAGGAAGATTAACATGGATAAGTATAAAATATACTTCCAATTAAAGGGGCGAAATAATGTGAGGTTCACAACATTAATATTCATAGGGCCTTGTCCAAATGTCCACATTTTTCTTAGTAATTAAGAACCCTAGCCTTGTTTTAGCTTAAATGGTCTAGATGTTTAGTTAACCACTTCCTTTGTTAACCAAATGTGGTGTCTGTTCGAGTCAATCTTGGTAAACCAAGGGTCGTTAAGGGTTAGTTGGCAACCCCCTAACAAATCTAGGCTTCTCCTAACACAACACCTTAGGAAAACAATATGGTTGGGAAACTATGGTGTCTATGGGGGTCCGTCCTTTATGGAAATCATGCTCGATGAACCAACCTTACACATGAAGAGACCTATATGCAGACTGTCACATGAAATCCATGTCAATCTCAATCTGCTATGATGGTTCTCGTACGACAACGTTAGAAACAAAATGTTGGAGCACAACAACGACTGAATGGAAGAGAAGCAACCAAGGGCGAGGGAGATTTGAAAATGAGGGAAGGGATCGGGAGAATGAGAGCTGGAGAGTGAAGAAGCTGAGTCGCTGACTTTGAGAATGAGGGTGAAGCTGCAGCTCTTAGGGTTACGTGTAGCCCTGACGAACATTACATGTAGGAAAATAGTTGGAATGTTATTAGAAATTAGCAATGGTGTTTTTATAGTTACTTAGAGAATTTGGTTTGTAGACAGAGGAAGTTGGGGTGATAGGCGGCATTTTGGACTGTACCATTTCAGTCTTTTTTTTTTTTTTTTTCCCTTACTTCCAACCTTAAGATTGGGATCCTGCCAGATTTGGCTATGCTTTTGTTTACCATTGCCTATTTGTAATACTTGAGGTCTAATATTATACTTGATTTTGCAGCCACTTTGGCTTCTGATGACGAACTTGACGACCTTGAAGTAAGTTTATTCCATTCATTTCCTATTTGCTTCAGTTTTGTCAAAGTTCAAGTCGTCTTACACAAGCTACATAAATAATTTTGTGTAGTATATGGGCCAAGATGATGGAAGCGGCGAGGACGGAGGAATGCCATGTGAGTCCAATTTAATCACTTCCATAAATATACTAAGAGTAACCATATGTTGTTTCTTATGCGTCTGTATATAACAAAAAAGAACTAGACAAGCCACTCCATGGCCTTGAAGATGCATGGTGCTTGCTCAATTTCTTTCCAACTTCTTTGCTTTGGTTTCTTTAGTTATAATCTCAAATTGATATTTTGATTGCATTAACCTGTAATTTAAATGATTTTGTTTTTAGTTTCTATTTCTAAATATTATTCTTAATTACATTGTTTTATGAAACGAGTACTAATTTTCTTCCGTTTCTTATGGACTCCCTCATAGATCTTCCTGACTTGGAAAAGGCAAGAGGAAAATAGGCAACTACCTGAAGGTGAAGTTTGTATAGAAATATTCTAGAGCCATTAGCGGGTGTTGATACTGTTTTTATTTCATGACTGAGTTTTGTATCATGTTTGACTGGTGTTCATAAAATTGTCTAAACTTGACATTTTTGAGATGCACTTATACACTTGTTCATGCTCTCTCATTAGCTGCTGATCGGTTTAGATTTGCAGTCACATTGTTCGTCCTTTTGTGTTCGTGTTTGTTGTAGATCGGCTGCATAGCTTGTCGTGCTGAACCAACATAATTCTTCTTTCGTCTTGTCATATATGCGTGAGTCTTACTTTACATTTGTTACTTCACATTCTATTATAACATTAAAACGAGATCTTTGTTTCAGCCAGTGTGTTAACCCCCAACATTTGTTACAATTTTAGTTAGAAGATAGTATGAGAGCCCTTATCATTTTCAGCCAGTCGGAGATAGTAATCAACAGCAAAACCAAGCCTTGGTCGGAAATAGTGGCAACCATGAATGGAAATGGAGAACATTTTTTTCTTTCCTGAGATATTCCTTTTATATGTCTAAACTTCATTTAATTATTCTTTAAAACATTTTATTCCAATAATCAAAACTGACAGGATGTAAACTGAACCATGAATGAATGAACGAACTGTGGCACCATGAATGAATGATGCCACTATTTAAGGTAGTTGCCGAAGAATAAGGAGACAAGCTTTGGAGAACTGTGCCCAAGGAACTTTAAAGAAAGGAGCTCATAGGTCGAAGAGCTCGAGAAAGTGGTAATTCTAGCACTTATCATGATAACAATAATTGTAGAGGCCCTGTGATACAACTTGATTTCTGAGTTGCGAATAGTTCAAACTTGAAAATATAGAAAGAGAATCATAAAAAAATTTCGTGTTTAAAACAAAAGGATATAAATAGAGATGTTCACGGAGCGAGGACGAAGAAGGCTCCTCTTCCGGTCCCCTATTCAAGCTTATAAGTCATGAATAGTTCTCAGCATCATAACTAGTTTTTTAGGTTCATAAGTCTCTTACAAGGTTTCATAATGTTTGATAGTCCTTAAGGCCTTGAAAAACGTCTTAGAGTTATGATAATGTATTAGCTGTAACGAAGCATATTAAAAAATCAGAAGTCTTAAACGTTGTATGAGTTATGATAATGTATAAGTTGTATCGTATGACGTCATATACTAGTATATGATGTATGAGTTATGATGATGTATGAGCAGTGTCGTATGATGCCGTATACTAGTATATGAGGATGTATGAGTTATGATGTTTGAGTTGTGCTATATGATGATGTGCGTAATATATGTATATTTCCATATACTAAATATGCTTGATGCACTTTGTGGCGATATGATGAGTATGATGATTGCATGATGTTTGTCATAATATGACAATGTTTTCCATATTGAGCATGTTGTATGATGATGAGTGCCATATTGTATCATGTCGGTTGACCGACATAGGACACAACCCTAAGAGCATGAAAACGATATTAATATAAATATCCACGAGCATGAAAATGATATTAATATAAATATTCACGAGCATGTATTACCTAGAGTAATAAAGAGATGAGACTAGAGGGTTGTGTCAGAAGAGACATTTTGATGTATTTAGAGGGACCTCATGCATATTGTATGTTCATAAGCATAAGGCTACTTTCTCTATAAATGATGAGTGCGGACGCGCACAGTATGATGATGAGTGCAAATGCATACAGTATGATGATGAGGGTGTTCATGAGGCACATGACACTATGGGGTTCTGCTGACCTTTAGATGTCGCTACAGATTAGCTTGACTAGAGGGTCTAGGGGGTGTGCGAGTGCGCTGGGGATTCACACTTGCAAGTGTGAGTCGTGTGTAGGGAAGTACTATACATCCAATTTGTCCGAGACTAGAGACTACCCCTATGATGTTAGAGATAGGTCCCTAAATCATGATTACATGTGTTTGTGTTCGCATTTGCATGGGCCCTATGGTGGGGCCACTTATGGAGTATTCTTCAAGATACTCAAGCCGTGTGGCACGTCATTTTTCAGGTAAAGGCAAGGCACACTTGTACGGAGGATGACAACATCGCGAGTAGAGACTGTGGCACGTGCATAGGGTAGATTCATATTTAAATTTTGAGTTTTAATTAGAATAGGTTATGCATTTTATTGTTTTAAATTATTTTGTATTGCTTTTGTTTTTCTAAATTTATGTATTTTGTATTTAAACACGCAAGACATGATTGTGTTTTCAAGAGATAGAAGATGTTTTAAATGTTTTCGACATTTATACTGTGGATGATGTTTTCTTTTAAGAATTATAATTCTGCATTAGAGATGAGCATGAGATGTTAGTAGCGACTCAAAGTATGTAGGAACTTAGGGTTCAAAACGTCCAAAAGAACCTTAGAAGACTTTGAATTTTATGAATTTTTTTTCACTAGTTTTATTCTTTTGACTTAATCGAGGACATTTTAGAGGAAACTTTAAATTTTTTTGTAGGCTTGAATTGTATGAGAAATCCACAACCAATTAAGTGTTGTTTGGATTGTTAAGTAGAAATACTTGTAGGGATGACTATGATTTGCACATATGAATTACTTGCATGATTTAAGGATGATTTGAGGATGAAAATGGATTAACCAAATCGTAAATTATGGATTTATGCCAGTTTAGCTCGATATGCACGTTTAAGACTTTTGAATTATTTATATGCTTCGTTAGGACTATTAACTCATACTAGTATACGACATCATACGATACAATAAAGTTCATACATTATCATAACTCATACAACTTTTTAGCTTGTTCTATGGTAAGGCCACTTATTTGGTTGGCCTTCGCCGGAGTACTTCTTAATTTAATTAACGTAAGCTCCTGTTCTTCGAGAGCTACTCTAAAAGTTGTCGGGGTTCTCTTTCTATTGCGTTGTTCGTCACCTTTTGTTAGTATTTGATAACTCTCCAAAAGTAGAGTTATATCAAATCTTTTTATCATTAATTTTGCACTTATACTCATCATTTTCTCATGAATTGCTCTATTTATCCTAATTAGTATACATGAAATAGTCTATTGTGGTTTAATATGAAAATAAGATCAATTTGCATAAATCGAGCTTAATTGTACACTTAATTGAGTTATTTTGTAAAATTTCAAAACATTTATGCTGAACCATGATGTTGTAGCAAATTTGGAAACAACACTGATTGCAAATCTCGAAATAAATTGTTGATCGTGATGTTGAAGCAATTTGGAACGCAAACATTTTGGGGATACATGGAAATTTTAATCCACATCAGCAATCCACGTGGGTCATTAACTACCAAATTAGAAACATCATAAGTGAACGATTTTATCCCTTCTCAGCTCTAAATGAGAAGAAACAAACATTATAAAAGGAAAATGATACCTAAACTTTAGAGAGAGCCACACTTTGGGAGAAAAATCGGATTAGAGTTTAGGGTTTAGGGGTAGCAGAGATTGCAGTGAACTACTATGAAATCCAAGAAGAAAAAGAGAACCTTAATCCAGCTTCTGTTGACAGCAGGAGGAAAATGAGACCAACAAGGATTGATTAGGACAAAGAGGTAGACGTGAGAGCTCAAGGGAAGGAAATTTCCATTGACAAATGACAACAAACCGGGATAATTCTCTTTTCTTATTCCATCAATTTTACATGATTTAGATGTGAGTTTGTTTGTTTAATTCAGTTTGTATCGAGAGCTAAACTTTATAGGGGAGGCGAGAGAGTTTTATATAGTTTAAGTATGTTGACGGTATGATCTTGGTTTGTTAAAGAGTTGTTGTTAATGATTTACATGTGTGTTTAATTAGCTACTTTACATACATAGTTGTTCTCTTATTCGGAAAAGAGAGAGCAATGAAATCCTCCTCAATATTTTAGTTCCATTCCAAGGAGACTTGTAGGGTAATAGAAGGGTTAGGATAATTCTTCTCCTACAGCCTTGTTAATAGAAATTACAAACGATTATTGGAAATAATCATTATGCATGACCCTCAGAAGTCGGCTTGAGAATCTATTAAAAAGAACTAAAATCTACCACTAAACTCAACAACTTATCTATTTAATCTCTCTTTGCCGAACCTTTCTCATAATAGTTGATTTTCTCATCTTTTTCTATTATTCGACACCAATGACACTCTACATTAGTTTTGTTTAATTAGTCAAAATCACTAACACCCACTTTAATGTTACCCAAAACCTCACTTAATTTCCAGCGATAAAATTAACCAAAAGATAGGTTGTCGGTGAAATCAATAATTTACTTATTACTTGCTACTTGTGATAGTGTATACTTGCACTTATTCATGTGAGTTTTACATCATTTTATACTTATTACTTGCTACTTGTGATAGTGTATACTTGCACTTATTCATGTGAGTTTTACATCATTTTAATATATACATCCACCAGCTATAGTATTTCACAATCCAACTAACAAATGTGAAATATGGCTCTAAAATGACTTTAATAAAAATCGAATTTCATGTTTTCATTGTTTTTAAATTGGGTTAGGTAATAAAACTAAAATGACTTTAATAAAAATCGAATTTCATGTTTTCATTGTTTTTAAATTGGGTTAGGTAATAAAACTTAAATTAAAAATATGTCAATATTATTTCAGGGTGATTGGATCATTCAATCCAAATATTATTGGTACAATCCTTCAATCCAAATATTGTCTCTTATAATATTATATTCACTAGGTACGATCACTTCTAGCGTGTTTAATTGATTATGATTTTCTTTTTTCCCTAAAAATATCATGAATGAATCATTTACCGTACTTGTCATTTTCAATCAAATCTAATTTTCTTTTTTTTTTTTTTATCATGAATGAATCATTTACCGTACTTGTCATTTTCAATCAAATCTAATTTTCTTTTTTTTTTTTTTCCTTAAAAATGGCTATGCAATTACATTTTCAATTCATTCTAATTTTCTTTTATTTCCTAAAAAATGGTTATGCAATATAGAGAATACTCTAACTTCAACAAATTAATATCATCCTTTTATTTCCTAAAAAATGGTTATGCAATATAGAGAATACTCTAACTTCAACAAATTAATATCATCCCATAAAAAGGAAAAGATAAAATAGGACTACGACACATCTGATTAGTTGTTATTATTATTTTTTAATTTTTTAATTTTTCAATTGTTACATTAATGTAGTGTGTTGACACGTACTTCGTGGTTTTGCACGTATCATATAGTTGATACTTGTGAATCAGTTACAAAACATTATGACTATGATATGATATG